GAGATAACATTTAAGATTCAAGTGAATATATTTTCACAATCCTGCAAAATGGAATAGTTATTTAGCGAAGTGGCGATGACTCGTATTTGAAGACTTCACGTATTAACCTACGCAATATTCAGCATAAGACTCAGCGCAGTGCAATATGAGAATGTGTGGTTTTGAGGCCTGTTCAGCTATCAAGTTAGACTTTTTGTCATTCTCGATCATAGTTCTCGATATTGCACGCTGAATATTGTTGTGTACTTTCGTCCAGTGTCCAGTACGACCTAAATACAGCACATCACATTATGGAAAATCTACATATTCATAAGAAAAAAGTAACATCACCAGAAGGCAAGTTAGTATTCGTAACCATTAGTGCCCCTAGCACGAACCATTATCGAAATCGTATCGTTTGCGAGTCTGAAATGTCATTGTCAAATGTGTACTGATTTTTAGTTCTCGTTACGTACTTTGTGCCGCTGCTGTTCAAGTTTCCATACAAAATTTGACATTGACATTTCGGTTTGCAAACAATTGTTTGCTTGAAACTTGAACAGCAGCGGCACAAAATACGTAACGACAAAGTACGTACAGTTTCTAGATCTAATGCGATACGTTCTTTTTCGTAATTTTTAGTTATTCGCTAACATGTGTAGGTCGCTAACAAAGATAAGGTGAATTACGAATAGAAAAAACCTTTACGTGTATTGCATAAAAGCGGTACAAAAAAAAGAATTCAGTTGAAGGAGCGAGTGCTCCCGTGACTTCCGGTGAGCACTCATGACACTACACGCAACCCAGTTACGAATTTTAGGGATGCCACTACTACTATTTTGGATTTTTATAATGTGTTTACTGTGAATAAAAATAAACAAACAATTAAGGACCCATTTTGTGCGAGTCAAAAATATGTCAAAATTTAATAACTACATGTTCTCCTAAATCTTATCGGCAGTGCTTCCAACTTAGGAATTGTTAGTTTGCTTTAAATTCAGAAGGAAAATTAGTGGGATGGGATTGTAAGAAATTCTTATATTTAAGCTTTTTTTTATTAGAAGTATAATATCGTCTCGTATGATAGTCGTGTGAAGCAGGACGTTACGTTCCCTAAAAATGGTTGAACGAAGCCATGGCTGGTTCATGGGTCATGCTCGTGAACGGGTGCTGCTACATTGTACTATTTGTCGTTGTATTTAACTTTAATCCTACATTTTCTACTACTGTTTCGCCTAAACAGTAGGCCACGGCATTTCTAAACTACATGTGTGTTAAATCAGATTTATTTTCATTGTATAGTCATTAATTATATATTATTTACATTATATTGGAAAGTGACTTCGTGAGTAATCTTATATTTAAGTCATTTTTCAATTTAAGGACTCTTAAAACAGGGAGATAAATACAGCCTTTTCTGAGTTTCTTGCCGGTTCTGCTCAGTAGAAGGTTTCGCGCCGTAGATTTGCGAACCGATAGCGTTGCTTTTCGATATTCACAGCGCTTGTTAAGGCCTAGACTAAATAAATGATATTGAATTTATTTAATTTGAATATATAGCCGTTGATTCTGCAACTTCTGAGTAATAAAATAAAAGTAAGTTATACAAAAACATGACACACATCTCCATTCTTTAATATTATTTATTAATTGTAACCATCATATAATTATATGTATTTTTCTATTTATCTTTTATAATAAGTACTGAATCAATGAATAATATAAAAAGATAAACAAAAAGATAATTGCACTGCCAACCCTTGGAGAAAGATATCATTATCGTAATGGATGTCACGGGCTGCAACTCTACAAGTGCTCTAAAAAGCAGAAGTTCTACCAACTTTTCCATTAGAAAAGTAGGCGAAAACCATTGTTATTGTGTACGTCATAAGGGGTTTTCCGAACAACCTTTTAAGTTTGTGTTTCGGAAAGCTAGGTGGTGCCGAGTGCAACACATTAGCGACATCTTCTCTCGAGAGTGAGAAAATTATACCGGAATTATGACATCTGAAAGTGCGCCGTGCTTTTAGAGCAGTTCTTGTAAATCAGTTTGTGCTAACTGAAGATGGTTCTGGTTACATTTGTAATATTATTAAATAATAGAATAGGATATTTATTTTTCCTGGCGTTACGTTACGTTACACAGAGTAACGCAGTTTTCTCACTAAGTATGAAAGTTTTTTTGAGAATACCACGAGACCAAATCTCAATCCAGGTTATAAACAATGTGTATGAAAGGTGTGAACACCCAAATGCGTTCAGTCGTTTATTTGGCTACTATAATAAGAAACTAAAACTAACATAACCACTTTCACATTTTTATAATATAATGTAGTACGAATAGTATGATGAAACAATGCTTGTAAATACATTTTATTAATCTTGCGACGAAACGAAATAGTTTATTCATGAGCAGATGAACAATTATTAAGACAATCAGGAAGCAAATTCGGTACTTACGCCCCGGCAAAATTGGCGACAATATTAATAAAATGTTATGAACCTTTATCACTTTCCTTCGGAAAATTATATATACCCCAATTAGATAATTGTTTAACAAACCTAAATATTTTGGAAAGGCCGAAAATATTGAGGAAACCCAACTTAAAGATACCTCACACCATAAGTGTACAAGAAAAAAATTACATCCCCACTTTATGTGTTGAGGTTTACCAGTAAAAAAACCGGCCAAGTGCACGTTTATTAGTTTGTCATACTATATGCGTTCCAAATTTCATACAAATCCGTTCAGTAGTTTTTGCGTGGTTGATTAAAAAAACTACAAACATACAAACTTATACATTTGTAATATTAGTCGGATGTCTGCTTATCAACAGATGGAATTTTTATTTTAAAGTATGCTCTGTAAATACGGTACTTTAGTTATCTTTTGTTGTGTAAACATTCGTTAGTTGATGAACAATAAGTATTCAGTGTGCACATGAGAGGTCAAACTTGATTAAACTTACCGCATAGTGATATGAAGATGTTATGAAATATTGTTTATTTCAAAAATAAAACAAAATAACTTTAACAATATAAAATATACTATGAAAGTTTTGTAAGTAAGATAAACTTATTAGCATCTTCTGTGTGACCATATTGTAGGTAGTTTTTTTTTTACTGCAACGCATTTCGAAATTGCAAAATATCTTAGGTACCACATATTTAAGTCTTAAGTCTAATACTAAAAACAGCGCTCTTTCCTAGTCGTCGTCGATGTTATTAATAAATATTTTTGAATTTAATCTCTAGAGCTGTAGTTCAAACTAAGTAATGTTTCCATCATGAAAGTAGAAAAAAGCACACAAAACAATTACGTAAATGTTCAAAATACTATACGACAATGAGTACTTCTTCCCATAGGAGCTTTTAGTCTGATGATGATGATGATGAAGCCATCGTTTCGCTCCACCATAGATATTCTAGAGATATAGCGATCAATTTGTAGTATATTATATAGACAGATTAACACGTAGGTATGTATGTCATGATACTTGGTATCAAATAAAAACAAACTATAACCAACAATAAATCATTATACGACGGCCTCCGTGGCCGAGTGGTTTGTACGTCGGGTTTCATGGCGTCGCCGCCGACTCGAGAGGTCCCGGGTTCGAACCCCGGTGGGGGCAGATGTTTGTGTGATGAATACAAGCATTTGTACTCCAGTCATGGATGTTTTAATATGTATTTCTATATAAATATACTTATATATGTAAAATATATGTATTCTAGCCGTTACCCTGGTATCCCATAACACAAGCCTTACAGTGCTTACTTTGGGGCTAGGCTAATTTGTGTGTGTTGGAAATATTTATTTATTTATATTTATTTTATTATTCTTTATTAAGAACGCGACAGGGAAGTAATACATATACGTATTAGCAAATCTAACTCAGTCAATCAAGAAAATATTTGATTCTAGACACGAAGATCTCTAACTATGATTCACTTGGTACTGTAACGCAACTTCTAACATAATACTTAATGTGCGTTATTTAAGACAAGTAGCATGCATATCGCATTTTCGTCTCGAATGGGAGCCTAAAGAAGTAACTTAAACCTAAGTTAATACCGGAGTTCATAGAAACAAAACCACTTGAAATTGTTAAACTAACAATATTTTATGTCGGTGACTCCTAACCCAAGTAGAAAACGAAACGGTCTTCAATTGTTAATTTTACTTTAGATTTAAGTAAAAGGTAAGTTTTTTTTGTGGATTTGTTTATATAATGCGTTAAGTGATAATAATGGACCCGGCAGACGTTGTCCTGTCTGATAAAAATATAATCCTAAATCCTGACAGCAGACAGCAACAGTTTTACAATGACACTTATCGCGTAATAAGTAGATATAAGTTGTAAGTTAAGTTTTCCTAAGTTTTCTAATTTAATGCACAGCTTTCTTAATATTTTTTCTGTAAAAACCTTCTACAATATTTAATGTTAGAAACTTTAAAAAAAGATAAAGATGGATGAAATCGGTGAAGTCATTGTCAAGTTATAGCGTGACCAAGAAAAACAGGCACTATTATTTATTTTGATTGTCTAGCGAACCCGGACAGCGGTCAGTAGGCCTATTGTCTTACTGCTTTTGATATATGGAATTATAATCACCGAGCTATTTAGTGACCCATTTCTGTTTTACTATAACGCCACTAAGATACTTATTCTAAAAAAACATCGATGGATAAGCAATTTTCTCTTTAGTTGCACACTGTAAATGTCAAAAATCTTAGCGAATTGGCCAGCAGATCATAGAAAAATCTGTGCGCCAGACATTTCCCTGCTCAATTAAAAATATAAAAAAACCTAAATCCAGACGCTAAATAATATTTTTTTCCATGCAGTCTTCTTAATTTATTGCGTAAGAAACTTTAGAAAACTTAGAAAAAAAAATAGATGAATAGGTGTCGGCGTATAGCGATAGAGTATTTATTTAATCGAAGGTGGTAAAAAGATATCAAAATCGGTTAGGTGATGAGTAAGGGTCAAGAGGGTGAGTGACTTGCTCATTCACAATAGGTAATTGTTTAAACGGACAGAAAATTAATCAGAGCAGATAGGATTTTACTTTTGTAATATTTATTGATTGGATTTCTTAATTTCTAAATAGGTAGGTAGTAATTACAATTTATTGCTTATCTTACAATTTTTCAGTCAGTGAATCTCTGGTAGCAGTTCATTTTTCTTTCTTATCGTTTTCATGGACCACTTGGGGCTTGAAGTCCAGATCAAGGACTCTGCGAAGGCTGTTCACGTACATGTCAAGACGCTGAGTCATATAGTAGCAGCGGCGATCCTTAATCTGGCGGTTCATATTTAAATCCATAACGGCAATGAGGAGACCATCTCTCGTCCTAGAAAGACCAGGGCATCGCACGCCATCCGGGCCACTGAAATAACTGGAGCCGTAGAACAGACCGAGATCTTTGTGTGCCGGCTTACCATCAGCGGAAGTGAATTCGTTGGGGAACTCTTCATAACCGACTCTGTTGATAGCAGCGGTGAAGTAGCAGTTGGTTATAGCGGCGTTCCTAGCCTCGACGTTCCACATGTATTCACTGCCAGCTTCGGCAGCGATGGTCGCGGACGGGTTGAAAACAATCTCGGCTCCGTTCTGACCGAACATCATCCAGTTCAAAACGTGATGGCGTCCGAAGCAGATGTTAACAGCGATCTTGCCGTAGCGGGTCGCAAACACTGGGTGACCTGTGTTGCCTTCCATGTAATAGTTGGATTCGTTGAAGTCTCCGACTCTTGGAATGTGGTTTTTGCGGTGCTTGCCGATAACGTTACCAGTGTCACTAATGACAACAGTCGTGTTCCACAAAATCTCAGCATGAGTTTCGTCCCTCTCCAGAATCGACGACACGATGACCATCGCGTATTTAATAGCCAATTCCCTCAAGAACCTTGTTGTGGGGCCATGTTCAGCAGATTCGGCGAATTCGCACCATGGCTGCTTCTCCCGAGTGCAAAAAGCGAAGGGCATATTCCATAACTCTTGGAAACAAATGATGTTGACACCCTCTTGTCCAGCTACATCGATAATCTTCTTCACTTTCTCGAAAATGGCTTTCTTCTGTTCGTTGACGGGGCGATCAGTGGGCACGGCAATGGAGTGTTGGATGACGCCAACTTTAACGATCCTCGGGGGTCTGGTTTGTTCTTTTTTTGCAGGGAACGCGTAAGCGGCAATTTCAAAATCTGCATCTTTTGCGGCAGCGATGGAAATCTCCTTAAGTTTCACTTCATTGTGGTTCTTCCTGCCGTAGTAAATTCTGTTGAACTCATCAAGGTCTCGTCCACTGAGGTTATTGTTGACGATCGCTTCAAGGCTCTGAGTTTCGTTATCCATGGTGACGTGCTGTTAACAGGGACTGCAGACGAAGACTGCTCTGTCGCGCCAGTCTCCCTGCTTAAATAGGTGCTTTAATGGTAATTTTCTGAACGTTTAGCTTATTTACTTATCTGTGTGGTCCGATCCTGGTGGCCTTCGACCTAACGCGATAAGTTTGAGACAATATCCGAAGTAAAAAATATTGAACTTATCAATAACAAGTTCTTATTGTGTGATTTACCATAAAGCTGAGGTTACAGTATTTCCTATCAAACTTAAACGATAATATTTGAAGTATGATAGTATAAATTGTTGTATATAGTTATAAATTGTTAATAAGCAAAAGTAATAAAACTGGTCACGCCTAATCATTACATTATACCTATGGAATAATTACAAATAATCATAAGACACACAGGTTTATTTATTCAACGGTTCGATGCTTATTTTATGTCCTGATTTGATTGGATATTCTCTGTAAAATGAATAACATAATATACTTATGTTAACGGATTATTATGCTTATGTGACAGTTACCACTTTTTTCATACGGCTTTTCGTTTTTCTTATTTGGACAACAAAACACTAATTGCATTAATCATTAAGACTTCAAGAACTACTTAAACTTACTATGTATATATAATCTTGACATAAAACCTATTTACTAGATGTTATTTAGGTTAATGCCTTGAATAATATTGCAAATAAATATGAAATTTAATTGGTAAATAGGCTCTTTTAAAGATTAAGGGCCTCCTTGAATGAAACTTAAATTAAATCGTCTTTAAAAATCATTGCATCTCCATTGAGTTCAAACTTCAAACTGCGTACAAGACAGAGTACCTATTGGTTTAAACTAGATTCTCATATAATTGATTCAAGAATGTCGATGCAAGTGGCTCTTGCTTATAAAATTTACATTAAATTCTAGGTTTCTATCAGGCATCCAACTTATTTAAATAACTAGATTCATATTTTATCTGTGGCCTATTGAGATGCTTGATCCATGGCCCACTAGATTCTATAAGCTAACCAAACTTAGTAATGTTACCTAGCGTCCCAAAGGTCTAAAATTGCTAGAAAAAGACTTTCTTTACTTATTGTGAAACGGTAATGTAATTTTTATGAAAGAGAGTAAATTGCTTTTACTAAAATCTACATACCGACCAATATCTATACTCCAAAGCCTTAATCATTTATCCAATACTCATTCTACATAGTTTTATGTAAGTATTTTTTGTACTTCGGACAGTTTGTGTATTCTTCTACTACATTAAACATTTTCCTGGTTTAAAACTATTATAATGGCCACAAATAAAATAAGCGTTCAGATGCATAGAAACTGTTTAAAAAAGACCGAGACCGAGCAATTATGAGTCTTTGAGATAACATAATAAGTCATATAGTGTCCAATCACAGATACGCGCTCGCATAAACATGAATCGAGTGTATATGTGACTTGTCTGAGTTATTTACTCCGCAAACAGGCTTACGCAACTCTGTTGGTGGCTCGATTAAATATTTATAAATAACCAGTCCATCGGTATCTTAATGGTTACACAAATGGAACAAACTTTGGACAAATTCATCAAGAAAAACCTTAACCCAGAAGACTTGAAGCAATTTAACAGAATCCATTATGGAAGAGAAGATCATTGTGAATTAAAATTTAAAGAATCTACATTTAAAACAGCCGGTGAGAGTAATATCGATGTAGCAGGATATTACTTTACGGCTAATAGTGAACAAGTGCGTAGTCCTAGAAATGTGATAGTGGGTTTAATTCAACACTCCATTGTCTTACCTACTGATAAGACCGTGAGTGAACAAAAAGACGCCATTTTCCATAAGATCAATAAGATTATAGATATCGCCGCTTCAGAAGGTGTACAGATACTATGCTTACAAGAATCTTGGTATATGCCCTTTTTCTTATGTACAAGAGAAGTGGAGAAATGGAAGGAATTTGCCGAATCAGCTACGGAGGGTCCTGTCTTCAAATTCCTCTCTCCGATTGCTAAGAAATACAAAATGGTTATAATATCACCTATACTCGAAAACGAGAACGGCACTTGGTGGAATACTGCAGTAATAATAGATGAAAAAGGCCAATATATGGGAAAGCATAGAAAAAATCATCTACCAAGCGTGGGTAGTTTCAGCGAAACATCTTACTACTCTCCTGGAAACTTGGGTCATGCAGTTTTCGATACCAAATACGCTAAAATAGCTGTGAACATTTGCTACGGAAGGCATCAAGCGTTAAACTGGCTAATGTTTGGATTAAATGGTGCTGAGATTGTATTCAACCCGGCAGCAACCATTTCCGAATTTGGTGAGTCTTTTTGGGGTATTGAAGCAAGGAATGCCGCTATCGCTAATGCTTACTTCACATGTAGCATCAATAGAGTAGGCACTGAAGATTTTTTTGTAATCAAGAATGAAAAAGAAGAGCGTATAACAAGATCTTATTATGGATCAAGCTATATTACAGCGCCCAATGGTCAAAGAACCCCGAGCTTATCAAGAGTTCGAGATGGATTACTGATATCGAAATTCGACCTCAATTTATGCCGGCAAGTAAAGGATCAATGGGGATTCAACATGACATCTCGGCTAGATATGTATGCGATGGAATTAATACTAAAAACTCAAACTTAGACAATTAAAGAGTGCTTAAGATTACTCGTGTGACTTTTTTACAAGAGCCAGCAAATTATCTACTATCTCTATCCTACCTGACGTTAAATGTTAGTAGAGTCCAACTCCACTTGTGGAGTTTACTCCGCATAATAATTAAGTGATGCGTCATAAAATATTACCGATGTAGTCACTTTCATCTTTTTTTTTGTTCTGTGGCTGTTTCCGTTTTACACAGAAATTTCGCCAATGTCCCCTGAGTAACTTTTAAAATTGTAATTTTTTTATGCTTTGAAATAGATCAATTATGGTTAGAAAATTAGACAATAAGTCCCCTGAAACGAATTCCCCTACCCCGTGAACAACTATGCTGTTGGTTATGGCAGCCAAATTATTTTGCGTAATAGATCCATGCCAACCGCAATCGATGATACCGCGGTTAAACCCGCGGTAATTACGATTTTTCTTTGTACTGTCCACTCCTACAACATAATACATCTTTTGAAAAGACAGATTTTATTGGGTGTGTGAAAATCCAAGTAAAGAAAGAATGTTTTTAATGTTGAAAGGATGACAAACAGGTGGAGTTTATCTAATTCCCCAGACGGGCGCTCCAATTCCAGCGGGAAATCCGCTATACCCTCACTTTTAAATGTTACACTTGTATAACAAATCCTAATTTCTACATCCATTCCAATATTAAAAATATGAAATTAACTCAGTCTGTCTCTCATAGCTTTCACTTCACACATGCCACTAAACCAATGGGGGGGGGCTTCTTTTTTTATGGCATGCACGGTTTGTGCGTTCAGCCAATGTCAAGTAAAACAGAAATTTAAGTCACCAGTTGGCGCCACTCTTGTATGTTTTTTTTTAGTTCTCCCTATTCTGGGAAGACAAGAAGAACAATGCCCATACAGCCTCGTCTTCAGTTTTTTTTTAGCAAATGATATAGCCAGGATACAAGTCCATAAAGCCGAATACATTGTACAAACTTAAAATACAAACATGATGCATGAATCAGATTACTGACAACTTAAATTTTGACACTGACATTGACAGCAGATAGATAATAAAAATAACTTTAAAACATCATTTATCATATCATCTTCTCTTTGTCTTATTCTATTATTTTATCTACAGTATTTACAATATATTTATAAAGTGGTTTAAAATAACATGGGTTCAATGGGTTGGAGAGAAAATCTTAAATGCGGCGGGGAAAACACTTGCTCTGGTCTTCTGAATTGACTGATTGAATATCTTGCAACTCACAAAATAGTAGTAAATTCAGGACATGGGAAAATTAGGTGATTTATGTCTGCATGCGGAGTCTGGCAATATCTGCATTTTGTCGGTCGACAAGATTTTAAGCCTATGCAAGCGAGTTGGAATCAAACAGTGTCCAAAGCGCAGCCTGTTAATAGTTGTAATAAATTTTCTCAACTCACATATTGCATTATTATACCATGGCTTGTTTGGCAAACTTTTTTGTATAGTTACGAACTATTTCCCTGTGGAATTCTTCCAGTGGTTCCAAATCCAAAAATATTAAATTTCATTCACTGATTTCACTGAAGATCTTCTGGGTTATTTGCAGTCAATGCTTTATCCACAATCGCATTTTTAGCAATGCCTCTGTGCTGTTGTATGAAGTTTTTGACGCGATTTAATCGAACAAGCATTTAAACTGATCCATAGACTGTGACGACATACATGTTTAACGGATGAGCAGACCAAGGAACTTATATTCCTTGGAGAGTAGACCTTTCGTCTCAGTACTGCCACCGTTCGCCGGTCATTCCAGAAAAACCTCATTTTGAGGAATCTTGGTTCAAAAATAAAAAGCAGAGGCGGCTTTGTCTATGGTGCAGGGTGTCGTATAGTCCGCGCACGGGTACAGCGCTTTTTCGTCTTACTACTTTATCCGCCTTATTACAAAACCTAGATTTAAGTTAAACATGGACTAAAACTGATGATGTCACCTTTCTTCGCCAAAAAGGAGACGGAGGCAACACTTTCACTACTATTAAATAAAAGTGATCGTGGAAATAGTGCATGGATGAGTAGGTATTGTAATTTTTTTGTAATTTTCATCTCCAGTGAAATTCTAAAGTCGACACCAACCTTATCGCATGGAAAGTGTAAAAATAAAATGTGAAGACTAGGTTGTATGTATTTCGTAACGTTTGCCTTCTTTGTGAAAAAATTAAAAGAACAGAATTTTGTTGTCGCCGCCGGATGATATGTCATTTTCGGTTTTTGGGAAAGAATCATTATTTAAAATAACTTCACAAAAAGGACTATTTTACTAACTAAATATGGTAAGTTTATCCTTTACAATTTTAAGACATTAAATCATTATTAATTGAAAAGTATTCATATTTTTTTACATAGTTAGTAACTCTGGGCAACTCTGTGAACATTACAGTGCAAGTTTTAGTTTTCGTAAAATCGTTAATTTATGATGAACAATCTTATTTATGCAATGATTGTCCATATTATAAGCATCCTAACTTGATAGTAATAATTATAAAAAAGATGATTCAAAATCCAGACATAACTTGAAAACGAGGATAGGTTACTTATAATTTTTTACAATGTACTGGTCTCTATTTAAATGTTCTTATTTTTCAGTCGATCTTAGCATACAATGGTGGTGCTGTCGTCGCTATGAAAGGACAAGACTGTGTCGCTATTGCTACAGACAAAAGATATGGTATACAGGCACAGACTGTGTCTACAAACTTTCCAAAAGTTTATCAAATGGGCCCCGCCCTGTATGTCGGGCTGCCTGGCCTTGCTACTGACACACAAACTGTATTCCAGAGACTGAAATTCAGGTACACAAAATTCTAAGTCTAGAATTCACAGGCATTGAAAATTGCCCAATAATGTAAAATTTAAAGGAACAGACTGTTTGTATTATATTGTATAACATAACAATGTCACACTGTGAATTAGTTTTTTTTTTACATTTTTGCTCTATGCACTGATTTTTAAGTTGTTATCTTCTCAAGTAAAGCTCGGAGTAAATGTTTGTATGATGAAAAAAAGCATTTGTACCCAAGTCTTCAATGTATATATCTATCAACTATGTATTACAAGCCTCACAATGAGTACTATTTAATGTTAAAAAGCTTTATTTATATGTAAATTTGGAAATAATATCAATATTTCAGAATGAACCTTTATGAGTTGAAAGAAAACAGAGTAATGAGGCCGAAGACATTCTCAGCAATGCTCTCCAACTTACTATATGAGAGGCGATTTGGACCCTATTTCATTGAGCCTGTTATTGCTGGCTTGGATCCGTTTGACAACCAACCTTATGTCTGTAACATGGATTTAGTAAGTAGAGTACTATAAAAGTTTGTACCTTAAAAGCATAAAAAGTATTTTGGAAATACTTTATAAATGAAGATTAAGCTTTGATTAGTTACTCCATGTTTTGTCTCTGTTCATTGAATGACAAGTGGCATTTGGCTGATATGAACAAAACACAGTGTATCTTTTCTAAGCTTATTCTTGTTTATTAATAACGTACCCCGTTAAAATGAACTCCTATGATAATAGCTTTCAATTTTTCATTCCAAAAAATATTTTTATTCCAAATGAAGATTACTCGAATTTGAATATTATATCATAAACAATTGACAAATTGAGTTAGAAGATAAAAAGTATTGTTGTAGGGTCTGGTTTCTTTTGATTTTATTCAAGTTTATCTAATTTTCAGATTGGTTGTCCAAATGAACCTGAAGATTTTGTTGTGTCAGGCACATGCTCAGAGCAATTGTATGGTATGTGTGAAGCCCTTTGGGAACCAAATCTCAAGCCCGATGAATTGTTTGAGACAATTTCACAGGTAAAATTTATTTAATACTAATACTACTAATTTAAATAGTTTTGTTTCATTTAGACAGAATTACTTGTTACCTTTAATTTTATTAATTTGTGATAAAGTATAAAGGCAGTCACTGAGATTATAATTATTTAAAAATTCTTAAAGTAGGTAGTCAAAACTTTAACTTGAGTAATTTGTATCCATTGTATCCATTATTGAATATTAGTTTATTAGAATTACTCAAGTTAAAATTATTAAACTTTAACTTGAGTAATTTGTATTCATTGTATTGTCATACTCTATACAGAATGAAGAGGAGAGACTGATGTTAAATTTAGATTTCAGTTTTAGGGACAGGGGATCTTTCCCATAGGAGTACTGGGTGATCAACATAGTACCTACCTACCTAATTACCTTACCCAACTACAATTTTATAAATATAGACTTAAAATAAATATTTAAAACCAAATTAAAACATACAATTATAAGTACATACAATTTTAATGATTGTTTACGTTTTTCTAGTCAACTCGGTCAAACTATAATACATATACATACATACATATGCTTGCTTTATTTATGTGATTTATTTCTTCTATATTTTTGTACCAGTCTTTACAATGAAAAATCAATTTGTCATTTCTTTTTGAAAAAGGCGGCGTATCCAGGCGCCGCATATGGTTAAGACGCCCCTGTTAAGGAATCATGCCAGAATCGACATCAAAATTAAAAAAAAACAACACCAATTAGCCTAGCCCCAAAGTAAGCACTGTAAGGCTTGTATTATGGGATGCCAGGGTAACAGATAAAATACATATACTGTATTTAAATAGGAGCACAAATGCTCGTATGCATCACACAAACATCTGCCCCCACCAGGGTTTTGAACCCGAGACCTCTAGAGTCGGCGACACCATGAAACCCGGCGGACAAACCACTCGGCCACGGAGGTCGTCGAAGACTTCATAACTTTATATAAAACAATACTTACAGGCTCTGGTGAACGCGGCCGACCGTGACGCCATATCGGGTTGGGGCGCCGTCGTCTACATCATCGAAAAGGACAAAATTACCGAGAAGCACGTCAAAACGAGGATGGATTAAATTTATCGGTTATAAGTGGTATTATTGTATTCTTTTATAATAAACTCTTTAAATAATATTTAACTTCTTTAATTAACTGAACACCACAAGAATTATGATCGTATTCACTGTGCTGGTTTTTTAATATGGAGATTTTGATCACTAAAGAGTTGATTTTTTACATCAAATATAATTTTACTCATTCTATGCTCCAATGTCTTCTTTTTTCGATAACTTGTGTTTCAAAAAAACTTTAAGCTCTCAAATTTGACAAAAATACAAAATTTTTATCACCACTAAAGACGTCTAGTGTAGAGATTTAAACCATTTATAAAAAAAGCAAAACAGAGAGCCATACTTCAGTAAACATAGGTACAGTTAATAATTTGACATTTATAATATTTGAGATAGATCTAGTTTTAATCGAGATTTGGCAAATTTGCTGCAAGTTGAAGCATACTGCTATGCCATTCACTGAGACACAATTGTTTATAAACACTGTTTCATAAACAAAATCTAAATGCTTCTGAAGAAATTCAATGTGCCTGAAACATGTGAAACTGTTGCGATAAACACTAATCCCCTTATTAATAAACAAGGAATAAGCTTGGACTAGTTTACGCCGTGTTTAGTGCATATCACTCAAATCCCATTTTTCATTCAATGAACAGACAAAACATGGAGTAACTAATCCAAGCATAGTCTTCGTTTATTAGTACAGTCAATCTGTAGGTTGAGTGGTGAAAAAAAAACCTAAAGGGTAAGTCTTGTTTTTTCTGTTGCCAAATGACGTCAGAAGCCACCTTGGCGATGGGCATGTTCAACTCGTAGGCGTTTTTTGAAAAACTCAAAAAAACCGTCAAAAATTATTTGAAACGCATTTTTCTTGTTTTGTATGCATTTTAGAAACTTTTTTTACCATAATTGTAGAGGGCGTTGAGTACTACAATTTATGTCATTTTTGCAATCTCGTACAACAAAAAATGCGCATTGTAGGTGGCGCTAAAGTCTCAAAAAAGTGTTTTTTCACTTTTTCACCCTGAAAATATCATTTTAATGGAAAACTTTAAATGGCAAAGTTGTATCGTACATAATTACCAACAACTTTTGTATAAACATTTTTTTTGTATTACTTACCGTTTTCAAGTTATAAATTGCGCAGGTATGAAAAATCCAATAGAGCGGTTTTGGGCAGTTCAAGTACACATTTCAATGTACGTTTTTACTATTTTTTTTTTCAATCATGAAAAAAAATAAAAAAAAGCTATTTATTTTTTATTTTTTTTCATTATTTTTTGTTTTTCAATCATGAAAAAAAAATAAAAAATAGTAAAACGTACATTGAAATGTGCACTGCAAATGTGTACGTGAACTGCCCAAAACCGCTTTATTGGATTTTTCATACCTGCGCAATTTATAACTTGAAAACGGTAAGTAATACAAAAAAATTGTTTATACAAAAGTTGTTGGTAATTATGTACGAAATAACTTTGCCATTTGAAGTTTTCCATTAAAATGATATTTTCAGGGTGAAAATGTGAAAAAACACTTTTTTGAGACTTTAGCACCACCTACAATGCGTATTTTTTGTTGTACGAGATTGCAACAATGACATAAATTGTAGTACTCAACGCCCTCTACAATTATGGTAAAAAAAAAGTTTCTAAAATGCATACAAAACAAGAAAAATGCGTTTCAAAAAATTTTTGACGGTATTTTTGAGATTTTCAAAAAACGCCTACGAGTTGAACATGCTCATCGCCAAGGTGGCTTACTGACGTCATTTGGCAACAGAAAAAACAAGACTTACCCTTTAGGTTTTTTTTCACTGAAACGATATTTTTTTCAACAGATTGACTGTACTATATTAATAAGGGGTACCTGTATCGCGATGTTTCTGTGCTCCCGGATTGGAGTGGAGAGCACGGAAACAAATCGAGTTTCGCAACTGTTTTTTTAGTTGTTTATGAACATAACGGCAGTATGGGACGACATCGTTTTAAATTGATAGAAATACCTATATTCCTCAGGCGACATATTTGTAACAATTGATATGTGGACGGCCAAATTCTAGTAAGATTGTTTCTGTAAACATCTACCTGTCGTTCCAGTACCATTGTTTCCTAAACATTATTTACAATGAATACATTGCTTAATCATCCAACTTAAATCAGTAATAGTGTCGATTTTGACGTTTCTCTAAACCTAAACTGTAATTTGACAACCGCGTGTCCTTGTCATTCTCTAATAGACATATATCCTTTCGTTCTGTATAAAGCATCTCTATACAGAACGAAAGGAGAGCAGATACTGATGTTAATATAAGTTTATAGAATCATGCCAAAATCGACACCAGTCAAATTTAAATAATTACTTTTAGTTATCTTTATCAGAGAAAATTACATGAATTTCCTATTCAGAGTAAGGGGCCGTTCAAGTATTACGTAAGCACTATAGAGGGGCAGGGGGGTCTTTGCTTTGCTTATTTTTGATGACATGGGGACACATTTCCTATATACAAAGTTACTCTATGCATGGGGTGTTGGGTGGTGAAGATAGTGATTACGTCAGCATCAAGGATTCGGGTGTCATGGACTGAAGACTGTTATTTGGAATGAATATGTAGACCAATAAATTCAAAAGTTAGTTTTGTTCGTAATAGTACTTAATATGATTATAATATTTGTACCTTTAGTCTATGTTGAATACTGTGTCAATTAAGTTTGTTTAAATAAATATATTACGTGCGTTGAAGTCCTCTATCCTAAGCCTATTTAAGTACTGCTGCTCATGAAGCTCATGAATCAATAAAAAAAACAGAACACGTTAAAGGAAAAATGCCAATGTTTACGTAAGCATGGGAGCGGGGGTATAAGAGCTTTGCTTACTTTTGCTGACAAGGGTGAGGAGGGGGTAAATAATTGTAATAAATCTGCTTACGTTATACTTGAACGGCATCTAATGAGGGAATATGTGCGAAGGCAAAATAAGAATGATTAGGACGAGTAATAAATAAAACATCACTTGTTCATATTGCAGAACTTTATAAACTGAATATTTTAAAAAATTAAGTTTCAATTATTTTTCATACACATTTTTGTCTTTACAAGAGTAGGAGACTAGAGAATTAACATTTCAATCGTGTTTTGCTAACATGCCGTTACGTGGCGTCGCAGCGAAGCTATACGTAGCAGTTACCTACGTAACGTAATACCGGCACTTCACACGGCTATTCGTAAACTTGGCAATATTCTCTCCTTTTCATTCTCTATAGAGTATGATACAACCTGCTGTCAAAATGACAAATAGGACACACGAATAGCGAAATGTGAGGTGCTAGCATTATAAAGTATGCCTCGCGACGAGGAACGCACGTGGCATCAACCGTCACCGTATAACAAGGAAATAAAACCTATAGTAACAACTAAAATAAAAAATAATATTACCGACCTAAACAATGGCAACACATATGACATAATATTTGAATCATTACCATGACTTAACACATTGTTCAGGAATATCTATGCAGGCGTGGGGAAAACCATAGCAATGGGAGCTACAGACTGATCACTCCCTGTCAAAGACGTTTGCTATAACAGCACAATGTGTATGACACACAATCTAGAGAACTATGGTAATAATTCTTAGTTATTAAATGGCTGCTTTGTGTTACCACAATTCTGCCCACAACGACACGAGAGTGATCAAAATCGCATTTCTTAAAGTAAAAATTAAAATCTAAACGTAAACAATATCTATCACAAAAATGTATTCTTCCGTAAAATACGAATATTTTACTTTATAATAGGGAAAAAGAGGATCCGAATACTGTTTATTCAAAATTTGCATTTCGTGTTCACAAACAATAAAACTGATTATCAGTATTACATAGACAACTATTTTTTTAATACTAAGCATTTTCTTATTCAAATAAAAAATGTAATAGAGACATAATGACTATCAAAGTATAAAAATTCACATCTCCAGCCAGCCTTAGGGGTGGCTCACAGCAATTTCCATACAATAAATCACAAAGACTCTCAATAACAATCCAAGTCTTAATTCGAAATAGAATAATAAATAACAAAATCTTATGCAGTACATTTTCTACTCTAGACAGAAACTAAGCGATCTAGGTATAATATGTGTATTGGCAATATGACGTTTAAGTAGCTCTTGGATTTTCAACCTGAGCGGTATCGATCATCAAGAGTAAAAACTTCGAAACAATACTTCAAATGGATTGAATCCGTAATCCAAAAATTTTAAAACATACTGGTTTTAGAATTTGCGTGCGACTCCACATGCATTGCGCCACAGTAAGCATGCGCAAGCGACTATGAATTTCAATTGCTGTACACATAGCATAATCCGTCACGAACCGATATCGGTGGAAATTGTTTATTAATTCAGAGCCACTGCAAACACTAGATGTTAAAATATATTTTTTTATATAATACAATTCACAGCTTATATTTTCGTAATGGAAATATTAAGAACAGCATAATTGTTAATCCGAAGGGGCTACAGTGAACGTTCTTAAACGAAGTTTCGGGTCATTTACATACTGTTGTTACACAACTACCGCTAGGTATTTCTTTCAATTTTATACAAAAGGAAAGCCTGTGCCCCAGTAGTGGAGACATTAATAGGCTTATAATGATGATTGATGATTAGCTCTGTTAAAATCCGCAAGTGATTTGTCTGTACGTAGGTTTAATTTTGTTGCAAAAAGAGCTTTGTAAAATCGTTTCAAGAATGTCCGAATCTTCGTTTGCGTGCGTTTAGAATAGCTGCCCCGGTTTACTTTAAACATTGTACAAATCGAGGAACAAGCGAAAATTTATCCAACAATACTACAATACGAATCATGTTTTACAATAGATTATAATGTACTAACCTTGTTGTAACTCACGTCATATACCTGGCTTATATTTGAATAGCCTGTGGGAGCACACCGTACATAATTATTATTAATTATTAACCGTAGTTAGTATACAACAGCCGTAGACCTATCAATGTCACTATTAATCTGAGAACAACATTATTACATGTCCAATTTGTAACACTTGAACGCCCTAAATTTAATGATATTCAACATTTCAAATTTGTTCATATACTAATCTACGCGATAGCGGTACATTATAAAAAGCTAATAACGAGTTATGAAAATTATTGCAAAGTGCGCTCAAAGATTTTTTTAAATATCAGTTCGGGGTGTGAATTTTGTAAGAAATGCGTCTGATTCGATTTGAATCGGGTCGCTCCGGTGGAGAGTGGTGCTCCGTTTCGGTAACCCCCATAATTTTATGAAACTTATGACGTCATTTTCTACTCTAGACGGATAAAACGTTTTTGTCCCGGTTGTTCTAGGTTATTAGCAAGTTGTTATAAAGATACATATTTTCACCTGTTATGAAAACTGTGTTATTACATTCTTTAATAGAACAACTGAGAGAGAAAGAGTCTTAAACCTCTGACGTTACTACCCTTAGAAGTATTGAAAATTACCAGTGACCGGTACCAGTGTAATCGAAACTGCCCAAATGTTGAAGATAAGTACATACATTTTATTGCTAGTTTATGCATAGGCACACCAGTCGCTCAGAGAGCGTATTTAATAGCAATAACTAAAAAATAATGCTTTAAGTAGTTACGCAGTGATGTCGATTCTGGCATGATTCTCTAAAGCTAAACTTAAATTTGACAAGAGTGCATCCTTGTCATTCTCTATACAGAATGAAAAGGAGATACTGATGTTAAATTTAGTTTTCAAGTGTAGAGAATCACGCCAGAATCGACACCATTGTTTTGCTCACTTTACTTAATGACATTTGTGATTCAATAAACAGAAACAAGTGACTAGTGTACTCTGTGTGATTCGGACTTTGTGGTAGGTTTTCGTTCCAGCATTGAGAATGTTAGAATGCTGATCACGATTTGAGTTTCATCGAGAAACTTTTCACACCCTCTGTTTACGCTATGGGCAGTTGGAAATACATCGAAAGTTCTGTTAACCACCACACAAGCTGTGCTGTCACGTATTCGGATGCGAAGCGAATAAATACGAGAACAACATGGAAAATTTACAAACATCCGACATCTCTGGTCAATCTTGTTTAGAATACGCAGAATTTTTGCCAAGACTCTTTCTTTCTTTCCTTTTAAAAATGACAAACTTCAAGTAACCTTCAAACTACTACGTTTTAACGACACGAATTTTTATTATATGTTTTTGTTTGTTTCCTTTTACAAATCGACTTACAGCCCAATAACTTATCCCTAAAAGATAAGCTTACCAGAGTTTAGTTTCGTTGATTTATTGGAAAGTAATACAGGCAGTCCTCGGCTTACGTCGTTTCGATTACGTCGTTTCAAGTTACGTTAAACAATGTTTTGACACTATTCCTGAAGTATACGTCAATTATTTCGATTTCCGGCATAGGAGAATTCACTTGTCGCGAGGTCAATGTCCGTGGGGCCGGCGTCCGTGGGGATGTCTCGACTTACGTCGTTCGATTTACGTCGCGTATTTCGAGAACCTAAGATGCCGTAAGTACGAGGATTGCCTGTAAATAACGGTTACTTGGAGCCTAACCTGCGATAAGCCTATCATACAGGGTATAGGATTACCGCATCTACTGCGAGAATAACAATGTCGCGCGGTGCTTCCCCTAACAAGCGATCAGTGAATGGAGATGTAAATGAAACCTACCATTTCTTTTACAACTACGACACCCTGTAAAGTCCATTTTATATTGCAAATGGTAGCTAACGTCAGCGCAACTGTTTCTTAATACAATTACGAATCATAATACATACAAAATACATACACATTCTTCAACTAGATTATTTATTAGAATAATATTTTAGAATATAAGTGTTAAATTGATACATTAATTGTATTGTAATTGTTATAGAAACAGTTTAATTGCACCGCTGATTTTCACCTAACGAAGTGGTTTTGGAAACTTAACATTTTTTTTTTATCTTTACTACTTCACTAGCGGAAACTATAAATTAAAGTACGTACTTATTCAATCATAATACCGAATTGTCGCTTTCACATGTTATCATATAATTATAGGTTAAGAAAAGTGCTTGATAACTTTTCAGGCAAGTGTAAGTTCGCATTTTGTAGCATTATGTAAAGGTACGCTGTTTTTTAAGTATTGAATGAATAGACTATTGAAATCTTTCAACAAAGGCGTATAAGGTGCACACCGAGATGTTAAAGAACGTTAGTAAAAATGCCAATGGCTAAAGTGAAAACTAGTAATGCTATAGAAAATTGGACTCTCGTGATGACGACAGACATGAGAATTAGGCTACATTTGATTGAATGAAGTGTTACTCGAGTTGAAGGTTATTATTCCTACAGTCACATATTATGTTCGTAACAGAATTAAGTAGTGAAGAATGTGAGATCGAGAGAAAATTTAAAGGCTGTTATTTATTAAATACCGCTTTCAATATCTTTTTTTTCCATATATTGCGACTACAAATTGAGATGTCATATCTTTCAAGTTGGATCAAACTGAACTGAATACGGTGTGCAAATTTAATTAAAATCGGTTAGTTTAGGAGTCCATCCCGGACAAATAACATGACGCGTAATTTATATATATATACATTTATATTAAGATATAAAACGTTTCTCACGAGAAGTCAATATCCTACAACATTACTAGCAAAAACTTGTGCTAACAGGGATAAAAATACCAAGAATACCTTACGCACAGAATATATTATTAAAATACAACCACTAAATCAATATACGGGATGCTTTTATCGTTGTAAAGAAATCCTGATGAACCGTGTCTTTTAATCCATTAGAGAACATAGTACAGATCTTATTATCCTACATATAAGATTCTCATTTATTTTCCACGATAATTTCACGAAATGTGATAAATAGATATATAACCTTTTAGTTGATAAGTCAACCTGTTAAATCTTTGTAAAGTGCCAACTTTCAAACCTTTGCAAGGGAGTAACTATATGTGCTTGTTTAATATAATATGTTTTGTTTGTCGAAAGGTTTTGTCTTGAAAAGACCGTGGCTAATAAATCAGACAGTCTTATACGCTATACTGTCATAAACTTTCATGGTCACTAACATTATAGTAATTTACATAAGAGGCTGTCAGCGCAAAAGTGGCCTAACCCTCAATTATTCATATTCTGATTCAACTTCTTTATTTGGAAGATGCAATATTTTTATTTTTGTTTTCATTTTAAAGAATTCCATGTAGAATAAACCACAGATATATACAAAAATTAAAACATTGTGATTTATCGGAAAAAATGCGGTTTTAAATTGACAATTTAAATTTTCGAAGCTATGGTTGCGATGACGTCACTCCTGTCAGTCACTGGTCGTAATTGTTCGTTGCTGGCTTTAAAATTTCATACTTTTGCATATTTTTTTTGACTTTCGAAATATTTTTTTGAAAAATTTAAAATCTACTATCCATCAACATCATGTGATCATAACAATACCACTAATATTCCAAAAAAAAGCCGTGTTGACTCATGTTTTGTGCCAATCTACTTCAACAAAGTTCCCAAATAAATTGTTTTTGACTGGAACTTCTGACCCAAAACTGAAAAAAAGTGGTTTCAAGCTGCGAAGAGAAATGACAATTATTCTCCAAAGACCATTATTCGATGCTGAGAAGATCACTTTGACGTATGTCGGCGAATATACTTGTTATATGCTTAATTAATCTGCTTGTACGTAAAAACGCATTAGTAACCTACCTAATACTTACAAAACCTGTCTATAACATATTTTTAATTTTACAGTTGGAGAATGACGTCGAAAATTAGATAAAGTTTAAAATGTGTAGCACAATCTTCACATTGGCAGGACTGAACCAAGCTTTGCGTTTCATTTAAAATAACTGTAACACAATAACCTTCTTTACGTACTTTATGCTCCGGAGAACTCGACCTTTTACTGTACATAATTTATCATCTCTTTTAATTTGGACATAGCCGATTGCCGTAAGATTTGTAGAAGCCGCTGAATAAAATACGAAGTTTAACAACTACGATTTTTACATACCGTAGTAATTAAGTCCCTTTCATTTCTACACTTAAAAACTCTGCACTTTGGACAAAAAAAGTTATAACCATGTCAACGCTAACTCTTGGTAAATTCCTGGAGTCTGCTTTGATAAACGCTACTTCCATTTTTATTAAATGTAAAAAAACGCAATAAATATTCCCATAAAATAATATTAACTTTAACAACCATAACCTCAAAGAAGTTGTCATAACAGGAGTGACGTCACTAAACGCTGATTGGTGTTATAATATACGTTCCGTTTCAAGTATTTTTAATTCGTAATAATTGTTAAAAAACAACATTATATGTAAAATAAAAACGTTGCAGTGGCATTCTTTTATATTTTTTTAACATTTTAATCATAAAATTTTCATAAATATTATATATGCATCTTCCCTATTCAATCAAAATGTGTTAAAATTTAATTTAATATCGTCAGTGAATTCAGGCGTCAATAGATGGCGTTGCAAAAGTAATTTATGCATTGATTTTTTTCTCTCAACATAAACTCCATAAGTGGCCTAAGCCGCTTAATCAGAATATGAATAATTGAAAGTTAGGCCACTTTTGCGCTGACTGCCTCAATATAGCTAGATTATACCTTGTTTTTTGCGAATCCCTGACATCTCGGCACTGTTGCAAATGCCATGATCACGAAGTAACCAGTTATTGACACTTGCAAAAAACAAAGTTTATTAGATAGCAATCCCGCTAATAACGCAAATTACTATAGTCTTATACGAGATGTATCAAGAAATAAGACAGTCGCTCGTTACTAGAAGCACCCGTTAAGCAGTTGTAATGCCTAATTGCCTTCTATGGCTTTCGCGACGAACTCTATAAACCTCTTCCCGTACTGTTCGGGATCACAGGTGGATATTCCGTCAACGTTGCTGCCATATTTCACTGTCTTAGCTGCTTTCGCCGCCTGGGGGCGAACAAAAATCAACCATAAACCTTAACACATAAGGTGTAGTGTATGTGCTGTATATTATTAACAATTTGTTGGAAAAAGTATAGTGCGATTCAAATAAGAAAAGGAAAGCCAATGACCTCCATCTGTCAAATGTCGCTTGACAAGTATGGTTTGCAAAATAACTTGGAACCCTTTTTTAAGCACTTAGCTAGTTCTAGAATAAAAACCAAACATTTGTAAACAAACAATAACAAATATTAATAATTAATATTGTTTGATATTTTTTTTCATTTATTGAGCTTTGGCCATGACTGGTTTTTTACCCAGATCGTCAACCAAATGTCACTTTGAGTTGCGTTCATAAACTCGATTTAAAACGTTCGTTTACATAAAGGATGCATGTTCGTATGTGACCTAGTGCATGATTATTTGTAACTACTCCGGCGGTAATTCAGAGATGAGCGGAATTGAAGAGATTCTATTTATGATAGATTCTTATTAATGGTTTTTTCTCACACAGTCTTAATAAGTAGATATTATTGAAAATCGGTTGTTTTTTATCAATCTTAGTATTTTTTTATTCAAAAAATAAAAGTACACTTAATCTTAGTAAATAAGTTTTGTAAAATAAAAACTTTTTTTTGCTCACTCTATTTGGTTTTAATTGACAGCTATTACGTCACAATATGGCGCCCAGTCGGTCCTATTCTTAGTTGAATCGCATTATAGTGCTATGTAAACTGTATTAAGGTATGTATTTGTGTAGTAGCGAGAAAAGTGTAAAACTCGTGTCATAAAAGAAATGACGACGTAAGACATTCTGTCCCTCTCGCACATGCTATACTAAGTAACGTGCGAGAGAAACAGAATGCCATACGTCTGCATTCTCCATTCTTTTCTTTGATGACACGAGTTGTATAAGAATAAGCAGAATTTAATAAACGATTACTTGGAAAGTGAACAACCAGTTTTATTCATCAATATAAATCTCTTACTGGAGTTACATTATTGAAACAGGCCGTAAATCATAATGTAAAAAGTTCTTAATTATTAAGATTGAGGAAATATTTAAATGATCCTCAGAAAAATAGTAAATAATCACCTAAAAATACAATTTAAGTTTAGGTAAGGGTTAACAATTATAATTTTGAGTTGATCAATTATTTATTTATTTATTTAATAATTTAGTACACACACAATTTATGTTTTGATGTCCATTTAAATATGTGCCTTAAAATATTAATCAAACGTATACTAATCCTGGCGATGAATTTGGAATGAAACAAAAACATAAAATGCACAAAACGACAAAATTTTGCATGTAATACTAAAACTACAAAAGTAATACTTTTTATTAGGTTTTTTAAAAATAAATGGCATTTTTTATCCTTAAATTACTAATTTGTGTATTATAAGAACAACAAAATTTTATTTGTGAAAATAAGAACCATTTGATTCAATACAGTTATAATATTTTTTTGCCGATATTGTTAAATTTGGGAATTCTGGATACGATTAAACCATTGAATGGGCATTTTGGGGTGGTCTTAGTTTCTACATCATTTATCCTTTAAAAAATTGTCCAAATGTTTAAAGAAGTGGTAGTCAGTGAGTGAGAGGCCTGGCGAAGTATGGTGGATGCGCCAGAATTTTGTACCATGACAGATTATTTTTGTGCGATGTGCTGTCTAGCGTTGTCGTGAAGCAAAATTAGTCCTTCTCTATCGACTAATGCTGAGTGTATTGTCGAAGCTTTAAATGCATTTAGTCCAATTAAGGAGAGTACCTATCTGCCGTCATCGTTTTGCCTATATTCAAGAAGACGGTCAAAATCACCTTTTGGGGTAATTTTGGCTTTTTAAAAAATGTTGTGGGGCTTGGTCATGGTCCAACCATTCAGCTGACCATATTCGGTTGACGTATAGTATCCATTTTTAATCAAACTGCACTATCCGGTCGATTAAAGTATCACTATTGTGCGCAAAATGGTTGAAGACGCAACTTTTCTACGATTTTTCTGACTTGGATGAGTGGTTGTGGGTTTCACACGAACCCTCAAACTCCTCTATCTTTTTTGACTAACCAAGTTCTTTCAGGTGGTCAAAAATGATTCCGATTGTAACATTCAATACTCCTGTAATTTCTCAAACCGTTGTACAAGGATAAACTTCCACCGAAGCCTTGAAAAAGTCATTATTGAGGAAAAAATGTTTTCAAAAAACCACCATTTAATTTTAAACAACCTAATATAATCTGCCATTGAAGGATTCCTCATTACAACCGAATCCCACGTGCCAGGTGTGGTATCGTTGAATATAGTGTGAAAATGCAATATCGTTAATATTTTATCTCATGTTGAAAGTGACGTTATATCCTAACCTAGTTGATATAGTTATTATCTCATGTATAATGTGGAGTGAAGTTAGGTGCAAATGTATTTTATATTGTATCTTATGTGAAATATAGCGTGAAGTTAAGTTCGAATGTGCCACTAAGTTTATACATTACCTGTTTTTTCACTCCGTAATGCGTCAGCACATCAATAAGAGCAACAAAGTATATTTCTTTCTTGGGTGAGCCTGCAAGCAAAACATCTATACATATAATAAAACGGTAGGAAAGTCAAAACTGTACATTGAATATTTTATAAAAGAATACTTGGGGTGTGATGTAGATCATCGATACAGCAGCCTAAAATATAGTTTTTAGAATTTTTGTCTGTTTGTACATATGTATGTCCGGGATAAATTCAAAAAGAACTGCATGGATTTACTTCAAATTTGGCACGAATATTATTAAGAAGTCGGGTCAACATATAGTTTATCAATAAAAACCTATTAATACTCAAATTAAGATATACAATTTTTATTTTAAGTATTAAACTGTTAGATATTTTATTGTAAAGAAAAGACTACGTCCACCCCTCAATACCCGAAACTAGTGGTTTTATATTTCTAGTGAAAAAAATGTTTCTTTTTCCAAGTTCTTTTTTTTATATACTATAAGTTCACCAATGGACATGGAACGATCAGTCCATAATATCTATTAGGAATGTAACGATACATAATTTTGCCGATACGACACCAATACCAATTTTTGTAGTATCGGCGATGCCGATACCGATATTGATGGCTTAATAGATAATTAATCAAATAAATAATGAAAAAGTTAACTAGTATGTCTTATATTACTGAATTATGCATAGAAGTTACTTAAAGGCCGAGCCTTGAGAAGTGCAAAGAATAAATTACTAAATATTCGCAATCAAAATTTAAAGGAAACATTTATTTTTGAAGAAATATAAAAAAGAACAAGAATTATAAGTGTCAAGTTAATATCACTACAAAATAACACGATTATAAAATAAACAGACGCTATGTCAGAGTGGCAACGTCGCCGAGCTCGCATCTTTGGTTTCTATATTATCGGCGATGCCGATTATATCGGTATCGGAATCGTAACATCCCTAATATCTATGTATTTTTGATATTAACTCACCTTCATGGCTGGGTATGGCATATATGTCGAGTTCGGGTATAATGCCCTGGTATCGCAGTGACGCTTGGCGCGCGAATCCACGCGGACTATCAGGTGGCGTGTTACAACCCCATCTGATAAAAAGAAAATAAAAATATCAAATTTGTTAACAGCACATAACATACACGCTCGATGGCGCAGGTGGTTAGCGCGTTCGGCTGCTATTGCTGAAGTTAAGCAACTTTCGCAGTGGTCTGTCATTGGATGGGTGACCGAAAATCTTCTGTCTCAAGTTCTTCCGTGCTTCGGAAGGCACGTTAAGCCGTTGGTCCCGGCTGCATCTGCAGTCGTTAGCACCCGCCAATCCTTTCCCACCCTATTCCACCCCTTTTTTTTTTTTAATACCCTCAGTGGCTGCCCACCGAGGACCTCGCAACTCTTACGGGCGCTTTACGGTATAATATCCGCTAAAAAAGTCCTGCGAATACCCTCTAAGCTGCTTAGTGCGAAGCCGCGGGATCCCCGTTTAGGGATTCTCCGCGTCTCCGCACCCAGCAGCCTCCCGGCCTTAGCCGGGGCTCCACGGCAGGGACCCTATTCCACCCCTAGGGAAGGCATGTGCCCCAGCAGTGGGGACATTAATAGGCCCGATGATAATGATGATGATGACATAACATACACAACAAAGACTATAATTGACTAAATAATAGTTCCAACAAAGATTATTATAATAAAACCATGAACAAGTAAAAAAAACATCTACAGTAAATATTAATATTATTATTGATGAGATAATAACAATCATTATGATTCATTGCTTGAGAAGCTCGATGACGCAGCGGTTAGCGCGTCTTCTGTGGCTCTACCATGACTTTTACAAATACCTAGAATGGTATAGTAGTAATGGTAGCGACAACGCAACTGATCAGGGGGCCAATCGCCTAACAGGATCCGTAATTACCAATTCAAAAGATAAAAAAGGAGCGCGAGTCATTTGAAATCCTTCGGCGGTCAGAAACAAAATAATGAAATCGTAAGCGATAGCCATATATCGCTAGGCGATTGACCACCAGTAAGTATCCTCCTTAGCACCAACCAATATCGAATACGAATCGTTTTCGAGTCCGAAATGTCATTGTCAAATGTGTACTGATTTTTAGTTCTCATTACGTCCATTGTGGCGCTGCTGTTCAAAGTTTCCATACAAAATTTGACATTGACATTTAGCAGTCGTAAACTATTCGAATTCGATAATGGTTCGTGCTAGGGGTACAGTACCCTTAACACGAACCAATATCACATTCGAGCAGTTTTGTTTTGTCATTTTCAAATTTTATGTATGTATGGAAACTTGAACAGCAGAATCACAGCCGGACGTAACGAGAACTAAAAATCAGTACACATTTGACGTATAATATAGATCAAATCCAACTATTAATTCGATAATGGTTCGTGCTACGGGTACTGTATGGAAAATTGTACAGCGCCTCCAGCAGTCACAAAGAACTGAAATCTCTAGATATCGACTCACAGTTTGAAGCCGTTGCCATAGCAATTTGACACTATGACTACAGATTAGGGTCTCGTTATTGATAGATATCATGGAGACATGCTTGTAAATAGGTTAACGATTACAATAACATCTCAGGGTAGAGCTACTGATCTTGAAAGTAAGGAAGAATGGGTGCTAATGACTGCAGATGAAGCCGCTAAAATGTAGCAAAATTTGGTCACACATCCTATGCTTATATGCCGTCATAATCAAATAAATCGTTGTTACCGTCTAAATGTGGTTACCAGCCCCGTGGTGTCAGTTATTAGCACAGAAAGAGGTTAGAAGGGTTTCGTGGGCGGGGCAGGCGCGCCAAGTAATGTATGTGCTAATGATCATAACTTGACCAAAACTTGGTTCTTTCTTATGGCGTCGTTGCTATCGAGTGTGACCGCTGATTGGTTCAATTGTTTGATGTCGCTTTGTTCGATTGGCTATTATCTATTAGGTGGAAGTGTAGTGGGGGCCGACGTCGGCTCCCGTAGAAACAGTATAATTGATGGCCCTTGTAACCTCTTTCTGTGTTCTGTGGTAATCAAATATCGGTGTAATTATTGTCGGACTTCTTCTCCGCGTCTCGTTGTCTCGCCGCTTCGGCCTATATACTCCAATAATATACTCGGCCTATATACCATACTCCAATATATTATAAATATTGAGTCCATAGAAGGTTACCTCGTCCCTTGGTTTCGGTTACCATACGTGTCAATCAGGGTTAATCAAATCATCAACACCCCGAATCCATAGGTGGTTTAATAAAATTCTTTTTAAACTGGTATAAAACGCGATTTATTAAACTTCCCCCATATTTCTTGACCTTTTGGACACATTACAGGCTGCGTGACCTTCCTTTACTTCGCAAGAATCAAAAGAAAGTTCAAAAACAGTTTTTTAAATGATTGCTGTGTCTGAAAAGATTAGAAATACTAAAAAGATATTTTTTATTTATCTTTATATAGTTACGTTATCAGTGTCGGTGTCTTGTTGGACTCGTTCTCCGCATCCGTTGCCTCGCTGCCTCGGCCTATATATTAATCTCCAATATATCATCAACACGGAGTCTATAGAAGGTTACCCGACTCCGTCGGTTATCAGTGTCAGGAGGATCGTATACAACTCAAATCATCAACTCCCGAGTTCATAAGTAGTTTTTTTTAATGATTGGTAAGTGTGATGAGATAAAAAGAAATATCTTTTTGTGGTTACCTATCCCCGTGGTGTCGGTTATCAGTATCCGTATCAGTGTCGGTGTCGTTATTGTCGGACTCGTTCTCCGCCTCCCGTTGCCTCGCCGCTTCTGCCTCGGCCTCGCCTCGTCCGCATTCGTGAACGCCCAGCAGTAGGGAGTAGTCCATCAGGTGGAGTTTTGTGAGGAACTATGGGGGTAATGAATCGTTTATTACGACAGCATTTTTGCTTGGGATGTATAGGGAATAGATAAAAAATGATTATTTTATCCAGGCTTCAGCATGAGTTGCTGGTTTGATTGTACAGACGCTTTAGTCTGTAACATTAGTATTTTGATAAAACGTAGGACCTTGACAAACAAATCAAAATAATATAGAACAAAGAAGAGCAAGAATCAAGTCAAAGTCTGCCTGGAATAATGTGCGAGTGAGACAGAATATTGACGTCATTTTCTTTATTGAAGCTAATTATATCAACAGTACACAGACAATTTGTCGCACGACTCTTTGATTGCATAACTACTTACAAAAAATAACACATCGCTTATCATATTTTTAAAACCTTATCGGTACTACAAAAATGAATTTTATTCTCAAAGTAATGAAGAACATATCTTACAGAGTATATCATTAAAAGTCTATCATCTATTAAAGCCGTCTCTCCCACTTCTTTCTAGTCCTCCCCATCCAAAGGTTGTCTGGAAGAGATCGCTCTCAGCGATAAGGCCGCCCATTGTTACACTAGTTTTAATTGGTTATGTACTAAATGTAATGTTATCTGTGGTATACAATAAAGTGTTTTGTATTGTATTGTAAAGTTTATAGTATTTCCCCTACCTCAACGTCCGCGGTGAGCGTTTCCAGAAGTTTGTCTTTGGCCGCGTCGCCTATATCGATGCGAACGCCCTGCTTTATGAAGTCGTTGTCCTTGAGGGTGGGCAGCTCCTTCTCCAGTTCCTTTTCCGATGCCTCCCGGTCCACGGTTGAGCCCTTCAAATCGTATTTCCTGGCGGCAACAATGAGTGGGCAAGTTTTAGACTTCGAAAAACTACATAGCAGTCGATTAACTAGTTATTTAGTGAGCAATGACATTTATTTAAATACTAGTGCGTATCCGCGACTTGGTCTGTGTGGAAAAATTGGTTTCCCATACAAACTTCCACTCCACTTCTATGTCCTTTCCCTGGACTAAAATTATCCATACCAAATTTCATTTGAATCGATCAGCTGTTAAAGGGGAAAAATGTAACAGACAGATACCCTTTAGTATGGATTTACATAGTTTATCGAGTGTCAAGTGAATCATATTATTTAAATGAATAAGATGTCACAATCATATTCCTGATAAATAGCAAATTTTAATATTTCATATCTTCGGATTGAGTGCTGATTTAGTACTATATGCTACCTCTATTCCATGGTTTTGGTGTACATTACGGTATTAACGCTCGATGGTGCAGTTAACTTGAACTTAATCAACTTACGCAACGGTCGCTCATTGGATGGGTGACAAAAAAAAATGTTAAGCAGTTGCTCCCGACTGCTGCATCTGCAGTCGTTAGCACCCACCAATCCGCACTGGGCCCTCGTGGTGAGTCACGCACGGCCCAATCTCCCTATCCCATTCATTAGGAAAGGCCTGAGCCCCAGCAGTGGGGGCATTAAAAGGCTGATGATGATGACGGTATGAAAGCGCGATATAGCACGGTATCAATACGGAGTCCCTCTTGATAACTCAACAATCTATATATATAAAACAAAGGTGACGGACTGACATAGTGATCTATCAACGCACAGCCCAAACCACTGGACGGATCGGGCTGAAATTTGGCATGCAGGTAGATGTTATGACGTAGGCATCCGCTAAGAAAGGATTTTGATCAATTCTACCCCCAAAGGGATAAAATATGAAAGTTTGTATGAAACTTTGTCAATTTTAAACCGATCGGTCTGAGACTTTGCATGCAGGTATAAGAAGAATCATAGATGAATGTCATTGTGTATAATAACAGCCTGAGAACAAAAAGTGTAGTCTACACTTCAGCTCTACACCGAGGCGAAGCGAGGGCGGGCCGCTAATAATGTATAAAAACCTAGGTTTAATAGTATACACAAATAACAATTTAACTAAGTGATCACTAAATTTAAAAAGAAAATAGCAGAATAATAATATATGAAGTTATAAGTAATGTTATAATATAGGTCTGTTGCGGACCTCTTTGCTATTTTGATAGCTGATGTAGTTTTTTATTTCTTGGCATTTGACGTTGTCTGTTCTATTACCTATTTCTTTCTGTTGGCTTAATTTTCTGTTTTTATTGAAAAATAATCATTCTTCAACTTGTATCGTCGTTTTATCATTTGCGGAGATCAATTTGGTTTGTTCATTTCAAGGTCAATGTAGGATAATTTCTGTGGGGTGGAAGCCTGGTGACTTGTACTACAGGCCTTTAATGCCTACTTCAGGCATCAGCTTCTCATACTTCAAATACGTAGTTTTTGATATATTTAATTACAACTGATGCTTAATCGATTGTATTTGTTTAAATTACCTATAAGTTTTTGTTAATTTCAGTGTGTGAGAAGAGAACAAATAAATATTATTATTATATTATGTATTATTATAATACTTGTGAACGTTGAGGTGGTTTGAGAACACGTTTCTGGTGGCCACGAGATAGTGCTCGATGCCGTCCACGGTGAGCCGGTACATGCCCAGGTATTGGGGCAGTAGGGTCTTGCCGTGCCGTTCCACTATATACTGCGAACAATACAGTAAATAATAATATTTCCCACACTCACATCAATTAGCCTATCCCCAAAGTAAGCAATGTAAGGCTAGTGTTATGAGATACTGGGGTAACGGATAAAATACATAATATTTGGTACATACATAAGTACGCACACCGTGACACGAGAATTTTATATATTAGATTTTTAACGTTCATGACTAAGGAACAAATTCTCGTATTCATCATACTAACAATTTCGCTCACCGGGATTCGAACCCAGAACCTCACCAGTAGGCGACATCTTGAAATCCGGCGTACGTCAGTGACTTTCAATATTAACAATAACGCGGCATTCAAGATACGAATCCAAAATGACGATGCAACACATTCTATCCTTCTCGCACGTTTCTACTGACAGAATATGCCAGGGACAGAATTTCTTAGTTGTTAAGCGCGATTTGTATCTACCGCTTCCGGGATCGCCCACTAAACACGTGATAGTGAAAATTAATGGTAAGGATCAGTTAAAAATGTGATAAAAACATGGCTAATGTATGGCTTTTGTTACAACAACTTAGACTCTGAGAGTAAAATGATTCTTTTGTATAGTCCAATGGGGAGTCGAACTTAGTACATTCGATAATTCCAACAATACATAGATTACGTGTTACAACTCTCATCTTGAAAGAATCGAATTCAAAATGACGATGCAAGACATTCTATCCTTCTCGCACGTTACAGGATTCCTTAATTGTTAAGCGCGAGTTATAACTACCACTTCCGGGATCGCCCATGGATAAACACGTGTCGCGTGACGAAAATCAAAGGCATGAGTTAAAAAGGTGATAAAAAACATGGCTGATGTACGTTTTGTTACAATTACTTTAAATCGTGGGGAAAATAATGCATTTGTATAGTCCAATGGGGAGTCGAACTTAGGGCATTAGTTATGAAGTACGCGTATTTCGAAGTCGAAGTCGTTACGAAGTCTCTAAATAAGTCCAAAATTAACTATATGACTTTTATATTTCAGCCTAGGGAAAATGGAGCATTAGATAATTTTGATTACTGGTATATGATAAAAACTTGTAAATTACATATCTATGGAAATTTCAATGAAATACAAGATTAGATAATGCACAAAAATAACACCACTGTAACATGTTATCTTAGGCTTATGTATCGAATTATCTCTTGGATTTCACGGGTATCGACTAACGTCAAACATTAAATAAATGCTACTATAAAATTTCTACGATATAAATATATAGGGTGAAATTGAATGTTTTAATAAAACTTCGTGATATTGTTGAGTATCTCTAATTTATTTGGGATTTTTTAAAACTATTTAAAATAAAATTTTGTTTTTGTTATATTTTAAGTCCTTTCCTCCTTTTAGGTACTAAATAAATATTATTTTTAAACACGCATACAGAGTAAGTAAAAAACAACTAATAAGCACTACTAAAAAAACGTAAAAACAGAAGACGGACGACCGGAGGCAATGACGGCTCCCGCTGTTGAATACCTTCCTATGCGCGGTGCAAAGCGCAGTGACATAAAAATAAACAAATTATAAATAAATACATGAAAAAAAACACTTCAAAAAAATCCGAAAATAATCAGGCATACTCTATACACGTAACCCAATAATCTCACAGTTTCATTAAAATATTAAATTTCACCTTATATATTCAAATGTTTATTTTAATTTATATAATGAATTTGAACAGTCAAATTTTATATGGAAACTTAAACAGCAGCGCCACAACCGACGTAACGAGAACTAAAAATCAGTACACATTAGACGTATAACTAGATCGAATTCAACTATTCGAATTCGATAATGGTTCGTGCTAAGGGTACAGAACAGAATCGGCTTTGCTGATAGTGCAGGGTATCAGGAGACGCCGAGTGTCACTCGCCACCATTGCATTTTATCCGCGCGCTTACTAGAGGGTTAGGTAAATGCACACGAGTGCTACAAGGTCTAGACACGCCTCTGAATCATGAATTGGAGTTACGACATTAAAACAACTCACAGGATGATAATGTTTAAGGAAGGAGTGCATCCTCTCCACTTCTTCAGATGTGAGGGTCTTCAGGATAAACAGCCGGTCATAACTCTGATAGAACTTCGCGCCCGACTTGCCCGACGACTCGTCAGGTGTCGGTTGAGATCTGCAATAAATAACATAAACAACACATCAATAGAATAACTCGACTGATTTTTTTTAAATGTTTGAATCTATTCGAGACGCGAACTTCAGCATTATAGCTGCGTCCTTTTCTCACAAGGAAACTCACCTTTTTAATGAGAGACAGAAATATGCGTTTACAATGTCTAAACATATATCAATGATCAATTATTATTAAAAAAACTGAATGCCAACATATAGTTTTTTATAACCGAAATTATGATATTTGAACTGCCAGTGTGGACATATTAACTCTATTATAACAGCATTAAAATTTCAGAAACAACAATCTGACACTAACAATTTCAGTACAACAATTTAGATTTTTGGTGTTACTTAAGAGATTCTTACATTTGAACATTCTTATACCTACATCTTTGTTGTCCCACCACCCGAATAATTACTAGTGACACAGTATGTAACAACACAAAAATGCTGAAGTACGCGTACAAGACAAGATCCAAACCCAAAATCTCATTTTTTATGTAAGCTTGTAATATTCTTGTTCAGCCCCTTCATTATATAATTCAAGTTCTATCATTACATTTACAATTTGATATTATATAAAATAAACTTTAAAAAAAGTAAAATAAATGAAAGGCGTTATGATAGAGTTGAAGTTGAGGAGGTTACAAGTTACAATAGTAGACCCCACAGCTATAACCCATCAACAGCAATTCCATTACATTTTCCCATGATCGATCACTCATATGTCATATTAAAGAACAAACATTTTGTTCTAAAATTTGAGACTCTTATATAACTAACTAGAACTTTCATTTGTGGAAAACAAACAAGTCCTTTAATCAAAACCCGAATTCAATTCAACATTGATGGGCAAACGATACTAAAATAATCACTACTCCTAAGCATTTGGTATGTTTGTTAAACCAAGCTATAAAGGGTTTTGAATATAAACCAACTTTTTTCGTAGGTAATAAGGACAATGATTATTTTCCATAGAAAAAAATCCCAAACCGACACTAAAAATAAGAGTTTCACTCATTTAGCCATCGACTTTGATGATGCCACCCTATACATTTTTTTTTCCGTTTCATAATACTTAAATCTGAGGCATATTTCGTTTCTATCGGGCTTGGGTTTTTTAAGGTCGTCCTTTGTCCTTTTATTTATACACCATGAAATAAAGATTATTCCAGAAACCAATACGATTTTTTCACTATTGTACTATATTATTAAAATAAATTAATATTTTTTTATAAGTATAGAATCGTGCAAGTGCAGCTTTGATAAACCTAATGCCAGTGTTCAAATAAAATAATATTCAACAAATTCTTGTTAAATGACACTATGAAAAATTTATGCTGCGTGTTTTGAAACTACACCTTACATAAACTGTAAAAGCAGTGTCGAAAATTATTAATGATTTACTTCTAAACATTTAATTAAAGTGAAGATGTTTAAAACAATAGTATTCACTGAGATATCCTTGGGAACCAAAACATAGTAAATAATTAAATGAATCAGTATGTTATTTCATTAAAATGTACTGTTTTTACTAAGTCTAATTAAATATTAACATATATTATCAGTCCAATAAATTAACGTGTTCAATTTGCCCGTTTACGAACATTATTCTTAAGTGCATCTATTATAATTTATTTTATGAATTAATTTATACAAAATTGCATTTTCTCAATCATGCTTGGAAGTTCGAGCAATATTTTGACGACCTTCTTCGAGATAAATCGAAATTGCTGTACTGGGCGAATACATTAAGCAGCGGCCGGCAAAAGTTGTATGAAAATACATATCTGTCGTATTTAGCGGCCAAATAAATTACATACTAAACTCGACATATCTGTCCCTGTCGTGTAATTTAAAAATAGAACCATTTTTTTTTTACTCCGAATCATGGCAACCAAGGATGTACTTATGAAAGGTTTTATTTAAATTTCGAACTGGACTGCGAATAGAAAGCTGTTTATTGGAAAAAACAAACAAATGAACACTTTAGCGTGAGAAAAAATATTGATGTTCTATATTGATTTTGAAAATTATTTAGTTTTATTTTTACGCATTATTTGAGAAAGGGATTAAACAAGCCTTGGGAACAATTAGGCATTGATGGACTTACGTGTTTGCATCGGCTCACATTTACACTTCGTCCTACAATGCCTCTTTTGCTGCGGTAATGTACTATTATTTAATTCCTTAATGAAAATCCTCTTTATGCTACCTTTCTAAAGACCAATTCAAAAGCAAGTCTTCTAATATTTGTGTAAAAAATTTGCGAAATTAACAGAATGCTTTTAAATCCTTAATGAATTCCATACTATCCATAGTAATACATATACATATTTTGCGAAAGTGTGCCTCTCTGCCTGTTACCTTTTCACGCTAAACCGATTTAGATGACATGTGGTATAGAGATAGTTTGAGTCCTGGGAAAGGGCAAAGGGTAGTAATTATCCTATAAATTACCATTTAAAAGGTTAAGAAGGGGGTGGAAGTTCGTATGGGAAACCGATTTTTCCACGCAGACGAAGTTATGGGCACCCTGCACTGGGATTTAAAAAACTTTCAATGGAAAAATTATTAACATTATTTTAAAAAAAGTCGTAAGTATCAGTAAACGGCGGGTCATTAAAATAATCGCACGCTCGCTAAGTCACGTCCCTTTATAACACGATTCTGAAACTTTGTAGTTGGCAGCATTAAATGTTGTGATAATATTAGCTTTATTACTTATTGCTTTAATCTAAAATTATAAAGCAATCCTAATAACTGTATCCTGAAAATTACTAATACGGCTAGTTTTAATAAGCAACCAAATAGCAAGGATAATATGGTCGCGTTTCTCAGCAACGCTTGTTATAATAGTCTTAATTAATAATAAAAATATCTTGGCAACAAAGCTCAAGTAGACCTTCCTCTTACAGGCGTTTGATTATTGAAACGAGCCGTTAGTGACTCCTAATAAAAAAAATATTTAGCATAACACAACTCTTTGTATATATGTCATTTCATACTACAGAGCTGCGCGGGAGACCCGCGTCACCCTACTCTATGAAAAACATAACATGAAACAAACACGCGGAGCGGACGTCCGCTCCATGCTCCCGCTTAACGCAGCGCAGGCTCTTACTGATAAGTTTAAGTCACAGTTACTTAAAAAAAATAAACAAAAAATAAAACCGACTTCAAAATCGAAAATGGAACTAAAAAAATATATAAACAATAGAACACAAAACCTCCTCCTTTTTTGAAGTCGGTTTAAAAATGGATTGCGCCATTTGGCGATAGTAAAAATGAGGTCATAATTTGACAGTGACAATAACTGCCAAAGCAAGACTGGTTAAATCTATAGTAAAATTTAACTTTAACTTATTCTCAACTTAAACTTTGCCTTTTTTAACCCCTACCCTTAGTACGAACCAATATCGAATTCGAATAGTAAGCGTGTGCGAAATGTCATTGTCAAATTTTGTACGGAATCTTGAACAGCAGCGCCATAACGAACGTTACGGGAACTAAAAATCAGTACACATTTGATAATGACATTTCGCACTCGCAAACTATTCGAATTCGATATTGGTTCGTGCTAAGTGTGCCGGACATTGGCAGAATCGTCACGTAATGAGACGCAGTCATAATCACCAAAATTTTAAATAAACTTTAGCTCTAACTGCCTCTGAGGTGCAAATCACACTAATTGTAATTAATTTATTATTAGGATGAAGATGAACCAGCATTCTTCCCTATCCTAGCGAATACTAATTATATGACTTTATTTAGTTCTGTAGGCACTTAGATGACAAAATATTGTTAGTGGTCGCGGTGTATTACAGCGGTTAAAAAGTGAGTCAGAGCTGTATCATATAGTCGGTAAAGAGGGTTTTTCCGAATAATACACTTTGACGTAATCTTATCGAAGTAGAATTTAAATATAATGATGACAAATGTGCGAACATTTTTTTTAATAATAATGCAAAGATACAAGATATACCTAATGCTTCTATTTGACAGACTATGGAAATAGGTTTGTCACAATGGAAAATGGTGAATTTGTATCAATGTCCACGTAAGCCGTCCGTCATTAGACAGTTGCTGTTAATTTTATGGCAGTCAAGTTTATGTTAGGACTGATGAATCTAATGGGGTGTCTGATGATCTTTCAGTCGCCATTCGTTCTTTATCATTCATGACTGATGGATTTGACGGCGTCTGATGGGCGCCTTAGAAAGTGTAGCTGTTAACTCTATTCCCAACCCCGAGGAGATCTACCGTATCTTCTCTAGTCTAGACAAAGTCGAATCTGCAGCAGCGCTGTGATACAATTTCACTGTGACTGTGAAATTTAACCGATCATTAGAAAACCGAATTGTTTAAAGACGCTTCAAAATAAGTACACACATCGTCCAGTTCGTTCCCACAGCCAGATTTACGGCACCGTATTGTTTCAAAACATTTCAGTTACGGAAACACAATGCCAGACCGAATACTATAGAAAATTATTGCATGGATTTTAGGAAACAAATTATCATTCTACTGAAACATACACTTATGTTTGTACCAAACGTAAGTGTATGTTTACCTATGCGGAGATGCAAGCCTTCATTATGTCAAACCATCTGCCGTTACTGCAATAAAATACAACTGCTCTACAATTAGTTGTCAAGGTTATACTGGATCAATGTTCACAGAAGTCTTGCTTATGAATGAAAACGACAGAGAAATAATTAGTTATTTCTTAGGAAATCGATACTAAGTAATCGATGTAAGCATTGGGACCGCCTGAATTTACATTAGTTACCGGTACTAATGGTTAACTTTAAACCGCACGTGTTATAAACAGAATGCCAGTCTAATAAGTTGTGGCCCAACACTATGACCAATTATACTCGATCTTGATTTTTATGTAGTCTAGTTTAGTGCAGTTTATTTGCAAGCTAACGATATCTTCCAGAGAAAAAGTTTTAAAATTTAGTTTCATCATATTAATTTTATACTTGTACAAGATATCTAACTGAGTATAGAGGTATAGTGTACAGTGAAAAAGCCTTTTTTAATACAACAGTGTAATTTACTTGCCATAAATGAATCAAAGTGGAATACACTAGGTGCATACCTGTAGGGAGTCCAGCGTATAATATGTCAATGAGCAAAAGAAACCAATAATAACGCCAGACATACAAAGTGGGTGTAGGTCAAACGCAAACAAGGGTTAAGGAGTACAGGTCACGGTCATTCATTCAAGAACTGGGGATGTGGCATTGCTACCATGGCTAATATTACATAAAAGTAATCGAGAAAAGCAAAATAACCCAACATTATCCCTAAGATCCCCAGCTCGTTAAAGCATTCAGCTGCAAAATCACCCACGGAAAGTAATATGACAACGGAAACAAAAACAAATGGAAAATGTCACACCTCACGCGAGAAAAAACACGTCATTCAATTATAGATGGGAGTCATTCATTGACCATTTTATGAAGCGGTTAACAAAGGACATTGCTTCTGTGATACAGTGGTATATGCTAATGATAACGCCGTGTCAGTTCGAAAGGCACACTACATACAGTTAATGAAAAAAAACTTAGAAAAAATATCGTACAGCTTCGTAGTTCGCTGACCTCAGGCGTTTAATCGTCAGGCCGCGTTTGACGAATTCGGTAGCGTCGTGGAATATACTCTCTTGGTGGGTCTCGTTTTTCATGTTGGCAACGTCAACGGGGGCGGTAGCGGAGCGACGCAGCTTACAGCAAAACCTCTTCTGGGCCCTCGAGCTGAGGTAGTTATCTGGCTTTCTAAACCTAAGGACCACAGGATGGGAAGTGGGATCGAGGATGCCAATCCAAAATTATGAGGGTATTAAAAATAAATGTAAATAAATACGCATACATAAATATAGAAATACGCGTAGGTCGGTGCCAATATAAAAAGAATCAATTGATAGTCGCTAGTAAGTAGCAATAATAAAACTCATCGGGTACCTTGTGAGTGATTCTTTGTAGTCGATGTCGTCGATTCCAAACCTCTCACGGAGGTTCCTGAACACCAGCGGACAATATTCCTTCACCTTGAAATGTGATGGCATATTTTCTCTGAAACAATGTTCATGGACATAACTTTCCGCCTAAACATTGAACACATATATTTATGATTCAATTCGAATTGTTTCGTCAAATAAAAGCATAACTAATGTTGCGACGGGCAATATGTAATATGAGTCACTATTAGTCACTTATGTTACAATTTGTTCCAGGTAAATTACTTAGCAATAATTAACTGTAAAATAAAGAACAGAGGTAGTTGTTTCCTCATAGTTGTAAATTTGTTTTCTTTTTTTATGTTTAAGCAGGCAAACGAGCTGGATGTCCACCTAATGGTAAGTGGTCACTGCAGCCCATGGACACCAGCACCGATGGTGCCACTGTACCTACACAGCTACCTATTCCTTTTTTAGTCTCCCGGCGGCGTGCACCTTTATTTTGATTTATTGTTCTCATATGCTACAATGATTAACTTACCAAAATCTCACAAACTTTCTGATCAAATGTTTGAACAAAGAGTAGTATTAAAGTCTAATTTAAAATAAATCAAACATTAATTGTCTTAATTTTAAAAAAAATCGTTGTAAATTACAAAATTTATCTTCTATTTCGTAAATGAACATTTGATAAATCATAATATAATAGTTTTATTTAAAATACTACCTCATCTTCAAAAGAGATTATATATAAGTAATTGAGTAATTGCAATTAACAATTACAATTGCTAATTTTAATTGTTAATTGTGATTAAATTTCAATAATTTCAAGTAATTTGTAATTAAAGTCACCAATTACAATTTTTAATTGAAATTGTTAATTTGAAGTTAATTTCATTTTGCCCAACACTGTCAACGCAGCATAGCTTGATGTTAATTAGTCAGCCATATGTGACCCATATAGAATCTACGCATTATAGTATTTTTGTGTAAAATTAAATATTTTGTTAAAAATATATGAACTCTATCCTGTACTACTAGATCATTATAATGCTTGCTTTGTACATGGCAACATTTTACTTATGTAGAAGACAAGATGGGTTTCATTATCACCCCTTGGATATGAGACCAAACAATCTATTAACCCCTAAGGCCTACTTGCAGTCCTAAATCTCGATTGGATTAAACTAGATGTAATCAATAGAAAATTTCAATGTCAATTTGACTACATTGTATGTGATGAATCTAGTTTAAGTTAAATTGAGATTTAGCAAAATTCCTGCAAGTGGGCCTTAAACTCTCAAAATTTACTAATTACTTACTTGTTGAATAGATGATTGTCAACTTTAAGCTTTGAATATGCTCTAAAATCATCAGGGAGCAGCATGACTGGTATTGTAACATGACTTAGTTCATTTATCTGAAAAAAAAAGAAAATCAAAGTAAAAATTCATTCATATCATAGGTACATGTACATAGATATATACCATACAGATCTTTCTGTACCTACATAAATTTACTAGAGATGAGCCGACTATAGTATTTGCCGACTAATCTGTTTTCAAATTGCCGACTAGTCGGCCGACTATACGGCAATGCCGATCATTCTAATACCTATCTTAGGAAGGTGTGCGGAATATTTCGTCACCACTCGGCTCGCAACCGCACGACAGGAGTCATTGCGCGGCCGCTGAGTACCTATGTTGTGGCGTGTTTCTTTTACCTACATTTATATTAGTTTTGACTAAATGAAATCGCCTACTCCCAAATCGAACCGAAACATTATTAACATTCATAAATCAGAACTTGCCTCTAATAAAAAAATAATTTATGGACTTCTTTATCACTCGTTAGAACTTACTCAATGAGGGTTTTCTGGAATGACGGGCGCCAGGTGGCAGCACTGAGGCGAAAGTTCTACTCATTCGTATAGTAGAATATGTCATCATATTTGATGGATCAATTTGAATGCTCATTTGATTAGTTCGCGGCAAAAACTTCACGTCACAGTGGCGCGAACACGAGATGTAAATTTTCATAAATACCCTCATTAAAACTTTACGTGTTAAGTTATCTGAATTACTGACAGATTTTTAATATTTTAAAACTGTAGGTAACTTTAGATATATGCTCTAGGTACTATTTAGATATTAAAAAACAAGCATAAGTTTTGAATTGTATTTCATTTGTTATGTGCCGATTATAATCGGCATGTTTTGCCGAATAATCGCCGACTATAAATGATGCGGAATAGTCGTCTTTCCAGACTAGTCGGCTCATCTCTGAATTTTAATAACATAGTTGTATTGATGAGAATGCTTTACAACACATTTGATCATAAAAATGCAATCAACTAAACAATTTTCAAATTTCATACTGGTTTTGGTAATTTGCATTTACCTGGGCTTGGTCTAGCATAGCAGGCAACATGTACACTTGCTTACTCAAGCTATGTTTGAAGAATTTTCTTTAAACATAATTCATTTCATAATTTAGTCAAATATTCATTATTTCATAATTGAATAAAATAATGAATATTTTTTCATAATTGATTAAAATAATGAATATTTTACTGATTTTACATTTTGAGAGGACAAAAATTACAGTTGCATTTGTAGACATTTAGTTAAAAACATGTTTTTTTTTATTTATTCTTTGTTAGGCTAAACTGTACTTTCTGGACAAAGCGCCAGAAAAATACTTTGTTAATAGATTTTCAAGTAAATATGTGAAGTATCAACTCAACCTTTTAAACTGAACTCCAGACTGTCAGTGTTAAGGATGTTATGCTTAGAATATTTTTTTCCATCAATTTAATAACATAAATAAACACATTACTCATAATACCATGTTCTATGTTAAAGGATGTGGTTTCCGCACTTAGTCCTTTAAGTGGACCATTGTACATGGCTCATTATAATATTTTAAATGCAGTGGCGGATTTGCAGTCTCGGCCGCCCTAGGCCCCAAGCCAGCCACTCCTTTCACAGCATTCACCATAGACTACATAATGAAACTACTTTACTGCCAATTTATATATAAATAGATTTAGAAATTCAGGAAAAAAAATAGGGTTATTTCGCAGGAATAAGGTACATAAGTTGTTAAAACTAGTTATTTGCTCTTACATACTGTGCCAACTTAGCTTAATTGCTAGTTAAATATTTGAATATCTATTTAAAGACAATTAATTTGTACGGAGCTACTTGTCTTCACAAGAACGGGTAGGTAACCGTGTGGGTAAAACTAAAAGTTTACTAGAATTTTGTGTTACCGCTTTCTGCGATCAGTCTACACTATAAGCAGAACATTTCAATGACTTTTCGGGCGTGCGAGATGGCTTTTTCAACAAAAAGCTCTTCTCTCATTGTTCCACACTGATCTTCAGTTAATGCCTGTTTTCCAGCTCTCCGATAGTACATCTTTTGAGTCTTTTGGAGTGTTTGCTAACATCAGTGAGAGCCACCGCAAGTTTATTAACATGGTGAATAAGTCTGCCCTGATAGCGCTTAGCTATAGCGTTTATTTCGTCCTTGACAGTGTTGCTTTGCAAGTAGTCGTGCATTTCTGTGCTTTTCACAAACCATGGAGCATTCATGAAACTGAAACTAGCAGCCGACATTCTCTTGAGACAATTTTTTTTTTTCAACTAAAGTATTAGAGTATCTTGGCTGAAATAACACCCACTATTTCTTCACCCTAAAAAGAAGTTCTGGGAAAAATTTCATCAATTTCGTATGTGTAGAAGATGAGATAAAGCTTTTTTAAAAAATAAATAATCTTTCTCCTGAGAGAAAATATTTTTTTACAACTAAACAATTAGAGTATCTTGGCTGAAATTACTTCCACTATTTCTTCACCCTAAAAAGAAGTATTGAGGAACATTTCAGCAATTTCGTATGTCTAGGAGATGAGATACAGCTTTTTAAACAAAAAAAATATTCTACTGAGAAATTATTTTTTTACAACTAAACTATTAGAGTATCTTGGCAGAAATTACTTCCACTATTTCTTCACCCTAAAAAGAAGTTTTGTGGAAAATTTCAGCATGTTCGTATGTCTAGGAGATGAAATTCAGGTTTTTAAACAAAAAAAAATATTCTCCTGAGAAAATATTTTTTTACTACTAAACTATTAGAGTATCTTGGCTGAAATTACTTCCACTGTTTCTTCACCCTAAAAAGAAGTTTTGAAGAAAATTTCAGCAATATCGTATGTCTAGGAGATGAGATACAGCTTTTTAAACAAAAAAAAATTATTTTCCCGAGAAAATATTTTTTTAAAACTAATCTTTTAGAGTATCTTGGCTGAAATTACTTCCACTGTTTCTTCACCCTAAAAAGAAGTATTGAGGAACATTTCAGCAATTTCGTATGTCTAGGAGATGAGATACAGCTTTTTAAACAAAAAAAATATTCTACTGAGAAATTATTTTTTTACAACTAAACTATTAGAGTATCTTGGCAGAAATTACTTCCACTATTTCTTCACCCTAAAAAGAAGTTTTGTGGAAAATTTCAGCATGTTCGTATGTCTAGGAGATGAAATTCAGGTTTTTAAACAAAAAAAAATATTCTCCTGAGAAAATATTTTTTTACTACTAAACTATTAGAGTATCTTGGCTGAAATTACTTCCACTGTTTCTTCACCCTAAAAAGAAGTTTTGAAGAAAATTTCAGCAATATCGTATGTCTAGGAGATGAGATACAGCTTTTTAAACAAAAAAAAATTATTTTCCCGAGAAAATATTTTTTTACAACTAAACTATTAGAGTATCTTGGCTGAAATTACTTCCACTGTTTCTTCACCCTAAAAAGAAGTTTTGAAGAAAATTTCAGCAATTTCGTATGTCTAGGAGATGAGATACAGCTTTATAAACAAAAAAAAAATATTATCCCGAGAAAATATTTTTTTAAAACTAAACTTTTAGAGTATCTTGGCTGAAATTACTTCCACTGTTTCTTCACCCTAAAAAGAAGTTTTGAAGAAAATTTCAGCAATATCGTATGTCTAAGAGATGAGATACAGCTTTTTAAACAAAAAAAAATTATTTTCCCGAAAAAATATTTTTTTACAACTAAACTATTAGAGTATCTTGGCTGAAATTACTTCCACTGTTCCTTCACCCTAAAAAGAAGTTTTGAAGAAAATTTCAGCAATTTCGTATGTCTAGGAGATGAGATACAGCTTTATAAACAAAAAAAAAATTATCCTGAGAAAATATTTTTTTAAAACTAAACTTTTAGAGTATCTTGGCTGAAATTACTTCCACTGTTTCTTCACCCTAAAAAGAAGTTTTGAAGAAAATTTCAGCAATATCGTATGTCTAGGAGATGAGATACAGCTTTTTAAACAAAAAAATATTCTCCCGAGAAAATATTTTTTTACAACAAAACTATTAGAGTATCTTGGCTGAAATTACTTGCACTGTTTTTTCACCCTAAAAAGAAGTTTTGAAGAAAATTTCAGCAATTTCGTATGTCTAGGAGATGAGATACAGCGTTTTAAACAAAAAAAAAATATTCTCCTGAGAAACATTTTTTTTTGAAACTAAACTTTTAGAGTATCTTGGCTGAAATTACTTCCACTGTTTCTTCACCCTAAAAAGAAGTTTTGAAGAAAATTTCAGCAATATCGTATGTCTAGGAGATGAGATACAGCTTTTTAAACAAAAAAAAATTCTCCCGAGAAAAAAATTTTTTACAACTAAACTATTAGAGTATCTTGGCTGAATTTACTTCCACTATTTCTTCACCCTAAAAAAAAGTTTTGAAGAAAATCTCAGCAAGTTCGTATGTCTAGGAGATGAGATACAGCTTTTTAAACAAAAAAAATATTCTCCCGAGAAAATATTTTTTTACAACTAAACTGTTAGAGTATCTTGGCTGAAATTACTTCCACTATATCTTCACCCTAAAAAGAAGTAGTGAGGAAAATTTCAGCAATATCGTATGTCTAGGAGATGAGATACAGCTTTTTAAACAAAAAAAAATATTCTCCAGAGAAAATATTTTTTTACAACTAAACTATTAGAGTATCTTGGCTGAAATTACTTCCACTATCAGTCAAGATACTCTAATAGTTTAGTTGTAATATTTTTTTTGTTTAAAACGCTGTATCTCATCTCCTAGACATATGAACTTGCTGAAATTTTCCTCAAAACTTCTTTTTAGGGTGAAGAAACAGTGGAAGTACTTTCAGCCAAGATACTCTAAAAGTTTAGTTGTAAAAAAATATGTTCTCGGGAGAATATTTTTTTGTTTAAAAAGCTGTATCTCATCTCCTAGACATACGAAATTGCTGAAATTTTCTTCAAAACTTCTTTTTAAGGTGAAAAAACAGTGGAAGTAATTTCAGCCAAGATACTCTAATAGTTAAGTTGTAAAAAAATATTTTCTCGGGAGAATATTTTTTTTTGTT